CCTCAGCCTCCCAAAGCGCAGGATTACAGGCTGAGCCACCGAGCCCGGCTACATTTATTTTCTTTTCCCCCTTTCATCCTCCTCCTCCTCTTCCCAGACTCTGATAATCACCAGTCTACTTTCTGCCTTCCTGAGACCCCATTTTTTTTTTTGCTCTCACATATATTTGAGGCCATACATATTCAAGACCAGACTGGGCAACATAGCAAGACCCCACCTCTAAAAAATATTTTTTAAAATTAGCCAGATGCGGTGGTCACCCACATATGAGTGAGAACGTGGGCATTTGTCTTTCTGTCCCTGGTTTACTTCACTAAACATAATGACCTCCAGTTCCATCCATGTTGCTGCAAATGACAAAAGTCCTTTTTAATGGGTGAATAATATTTCATTGTGTATATAGACCATATTTTCTTTTCTATTCTTTTCTTTCTCTCTCTCTTTTTTTTTTAGTCAGGGTCTCACTCTGTCACCCAGGCTGGTGTGCATTGGCATGATCATGGCTCACCACAGCCTCAACCTCCTGGGCTCAGGCGATCCTCTCACCTCAGCCTATTGAGTAGGTGGACCTACAGGTGCATGCCACAATGCCAGCTAATTTTTTAAAAATTTATTTGTAGAGATGAGGTCTTGCTATGTGGCCTAGGCTGGTCTTGATCCTGGTTCAAGCAATCCTTCCTTCTTGACCTCCCAAAGTGTTGGGATGACAGGCCATGGTGCCTGGTCTATAAAACCTCTGTGGAAAACAGTATGGTGATTCCTAAAAGCTCTAAATATTGACCTCCCATATGACCCCGCAATCCCCCTACTGGGAATATACCCTGAAGAACTCAAATCACTCTGTAGAAAAGATACCTGCACATGTATGTTTATCGCAGCATTGTTCACAATAGCAAGAACCTGGAAGCAACCATGCTGTCCATCAAAAGAGGACTAGATTTAAAAAATGTGGTATATATACACGATGGAATGCTACACAGCCATCAAAAAGAACAAAATCATGAATTTTGCAGCAACCTGGATGGAATTAGAGTCTATAATACTGAGTGATCTCTCACAGAAACAAAGATCTGAGTATCACATGTTCTCACTCATATAGTGGACCTTGAACATCCAACATAATACTATAAGAAAATGACTGACAGTGGTGAGAAACTATGGGGGAGAGGGGAAAGGAGATGGGATTAACGGTAGTCAATATCTGTCTGGGTATGGGGAGACACCTCTTATCAACAAGGGTGCCTGAACGAAGCATATTTGTATACCTAATCCTTAACTGTACCCCACAATATCATAATAAAAAATATTGATTAAAAAAAAGTCATCTAAAAAAAATCCCCCAAAAAACCTTTGTAATTCTTATTTAATTATTTCCTTTACAATGAGCACTCACCAAGACAGCCCAGTCTCTCATTCACCTTTTCAGTGAATTAGTCATTTCCTTTGCTGCCAAAAATGCAATCCCTGTAGAAAGTAAATTTTAAATTTAATTTGAAGTAATAGATATTTTCACCACATACGTTATTTTTTTAAAAAAAGTAATAACACACACACACATACAAATTGTAACAGTATTTTTTCTAATTGTTACTTAATGATTGCTCAAAGGGATGGTTTCCAGCAACGGTCTCCGTGTACTACAGTGGGTGTCAGTATCTGGAGGACTTCCGAAAAATGAGACGACTTTTGCAAAAATATTGAAAGACAAAGGCTATGTCACTGGGATCATAGGTATGTACTTTATTGATTATTTATTAATTTATTTGAGTTGGGTCTTACTCTGTCACCCAGGCTGGAGTGCAGTGGCATGATCACGGCTCACCACAGCCTCAAACTTTTGGGCTCAGGCAATCCTTCCTCCTTGACCTCCCAAATAACTGGGATTACAGGTGTTTGCCACCACACCTGGCTAATTTTTTTTTTGTAGAGAAAAGTTCTCGCTGTGTTGCCTAAGCTGATCTCAAACTCCTGGGCTCAAGTGATCCTCCCACCTCAGCCTCCTTTTGCAAAGTGCTGAGATTAGAGGAATGATGTTCTTTGTGTAATTAAAAAAAAACCCTCCAGGAAGATGCAGCCTTCAGTGTAAAATGAAGGTGCATTACTCCAAGAGGCTGTATGCATATATATTTCAAGACAGAAGAGTCTATTCTCATGGAATATTATTTGAGAAATCATATGAGGTTTTTTTCGATGACAGAAGAATGGCGAGAGGATCCACAGTGTTTCCTTATCAACACCGTAATACAGGCAGCACAGAAACTAAAAGTCTTTCTTTGACTGAATTTGAAAGTTGTGCCCTGTGGGTCAGACATGGTGGCTCATGCCTGAGAAACTAAGGGGGAGGATTGCTTGAGGCCAAGAGCTCGAGACCAGCCTGGGCAACATAGCAAGACTCTGTCTCTACAAATAATAATAGTAATAATAATAATAATAATAATAATAATAATAAGCCTGGTATGGTGGGTGCACCTATGGTCCCAGCTACTGGGGAGACTGAGGCAGGAGCATCACTTGAGTCCAGGAGTTCAAGACCAGCCCAGGCATTATCGCGAGATGAGGGTCAACCCTTGGTGATGTCCACATACTCTCTGTCTCCCAGGGAAGTGGCATCTGGGTCTTAACTGTGAATCGGCCACTGACCACTGCCACCACCCTCTCAGTCATGGGTTCGACCACTTCTATGGAATGACCTTGTCCATGATGGGTGACTGTATTGGCTTTGACCTCTCCGAGAAGCGTGTGGGCCTCCAACGCCGACTCCGCTTCTGCCTTCAAGTGGTGGCGCTGGCCGTCCTCTCGCTGGCCGCAGGGAAGGTCATGGGCCTGGCCTCTGTCCCGTGGGCACTGGTCATTGGGTCGGCCGTGGCAGCTCTACTGATCCTCATTGCCTCATACTTCCTGGGTCCCCTGATTGTTCACGCTGACTGCTTCCTCATGAGAAATCACACCATCACTGAGCAGCCCATGAAGTTCCAGAGAACAGCGTCACTTATGCTGCGGGAAGTCTCGTCCTTTCTCAAAAGGTGAGCAAAGAGAAGGTCAGTCTCAAGCCTGCCTTCTGGGAAATACCTTCTGATGGCTGGGTGCAGTGGCTCATACCTGTCATCCCAGCAAGTTGGGAGGCTGAGGCAGAAGGATCGCCGAAGCCTAGGAGTTTGAGACCAGCCTAAGCAACATAGTGAGACCTTGTCTCTACAAACAATTTAAAAATTAGTTGGATGTGGTGGGGCATGCCTGTATTGATAGCTACTCAGGAGGCTGAGGCTGGAGGATTGCTTGAGCCCACGAGTTCAAGCCTATAGTGAGCCACACATGATTGTGCCCCCGCATTTCCGCCTGGACCACAGAGTGAGACCCTGTCTCAAAAAAAAAAAAAAAAAAGTCAAGCATGGTGGCATATGCCTGTAGTCCCAGCTACTCAAGAAGTTGAGGTGGAAGGACTGCTTGAACCCAGGAATTTGAGGCTGTAGTGAGCTATGATCACGCCACTGAATTCTACCCTGGGTGACAGAGCCAGACTTTATCTTGAAAAAGAATGTAAAAAATTTTTTTTCTAAAGCATTGTTACAGGTCAGTTGGAATTTGCTGCTGTCTCTTCTAACTCTCTGATCACCTGGGCCCTGTAAACTATTATAACTAAACCACCTGGAGAGATTCTACAATAAATTATAGATATTTATTTTTAAGCTCTGTCAACGGGACTAAGAGGTCCTACTGCTGACTTCAACCTACAGATAAGTTTTGGAGGCAAGAGGACTTAGTATGGCCGATCAAGAAAGACATGAATTAAAGCTACATTAAATGGAGTTAGTTCCATTTTCTCCAAGGATATTCTTCTAGTTAGGAGGGTGACACCATCAGATCCCAGCTTTCCTTGTTGACGGTGAGATTGCCATCATATTGGACAACATTCTTGGAGTCCTTGATGGAACTGTCTCCTATAAATCAGGAAAAGCACTGATAATTAGCTTGCAACTTTAAACAGGTCAGGCTAACATATTCTAATTAAGACTCAGAACTTCATTGTTGCTTTTAGGCTTTTTGTAGAGGTAGGGTCTTGCTATGCTGCCCAGGCTGGTCTCAAACTCCTGGCCTCAAGAGATCCTCCTCACTCAGCTTCCTGAGTGTCTGGTATGACAGGTACATACCACCACACCTAACTAATTATTTTAGTAGAGATGGGGTCTCACTATGTTGCCCAGACTGGTATCGAATTCCTGAACTCAGGAGATCCTCCTGCCTCAGTCTCCCAAGTAGCTGGGAATACAGATGTGTACCACTATGCCTGGGTAATTTTTTTTTTTTGTTGTAGAGATGAGGTCTTGCTGTGTTACCAAGGCTGGTCTTGAACTCCTGGCCTCAATTGATCCTCCCACTTTGGCCTCCCAAAGCATTGAGATTATAAGTGTTAACCACCGAACCTAGCTCCTAACTTTCAAAGTTTGTTTTTTCATAACTATTTGATGTCCTAAACCTCCCTACATGATAGCAATTATAAAGAAATTTGAATGTGCAACACCACTTATTCAATAGGCTAAATTTTGAGGTAGAAATATGGCCTAAAATAACTGATCAAAACAAATACCAGGTCAGGCAGTAAACTGGTGTTCGTTTGCTTTTTTGGTGTGTCATTAAGTACATAGAGTTAGAAAATTATATTTAGGACAAAAATGATGCACAAAATCAGTGTGGATTTTAAAATAGATCCCAGAAGAGAAAAGGCATCACGTTAAAGATTCTTAGAAACAAAAATATTGCTGGGAGTAGTAGTTCAAGTCTGTTATCCCAGCATTTAGAGAGACTAAGGCGGGAGGATTGCTTGAACCTAAGAGTTCGACACCAGCCTGGATAACATAGTGAAACCCAGTATCTACAAAATTTTTTTAAAAAAATTACCTGGGCTTGGTGGCATGTGCCAGTAAGTCCCAGCTTCTTGGGAGGCTGAGGCATGAGGATCACCTGAGCCCAGGAGGTAGAGGCTGTGATGAGCCGTGATCATACCACTGCACTCCAGCCTAGGCAACAGAGTGATACTCCGACTCAAAACAAAACAAAACCCCCCAACAGTATATTGTGTTATATGTTGGATAAGATTTGTGTATCTTTGCCCTTGGTGAGGGGAGTATTAACAACATTTGAGTAAGGATGTGATGGGTGATATTTGAATTTAGTGTCTTCAGAAGTTCTGTCTTTGTTTCACCAAAAAAAAGTAAACTCCATTCTTTGTATTTATTTTTAGAAATAAGCATGGACCTTTCCTTTTGTTTGTTTCCTTCTTACATACACACATCCCTCTTGTCACCACTGAGAAATTCCTTGGAAAAAGTCTCCATGGGCTTTATGGGGACAACGTGGAGGAGATGGATTGGATGGTGGGTAAGTGACTTTTCCAGGAGAAAATGTGGAAACCTAATTCCCACGTGGTACAGAGAATAAGCCTCATGCTGTAGAGAGAACAATTTCCATGATGTAAACAGTATAATCCCCACAGGGTAGAGGGAATAATCTCTACGGGGTAGACAGAATAATCCTCACAGGGTAGAGAGAATAATCTCCACGGGGAAAACAGACTAATCCTCAAGGGATACAGAGAATAATCTCCAGGGGTAGACAGAATAATTCCCACAGAGTAGAGATAATAATCCCCACAAAGTAGAAAGAATAATCCCCATGGGAAGACAGAATAATCCCCGCAGAGTAGACAGAGTAATCCCCATGGGGTAGAGAGAATAATCCCCACAGGATAGAGTGAATAATCTGCAGAGTAGAGAGAATAATTTCCATGGGTTGGAGAGAATAATCCCCACAGAGAAGAGAGAATAATCTCCACATGATGATAGAATAATCACCACAGAGTAGAGAGAATAATCCCCATGGGGTAAAGAGAATAAACCCCACAGGATGGAGAGAATAATCCCCACAGAATAGAGAGAATAATCTCCACAAGGTATACAGGATAATGTCCCCATCCTAATCCCATGTAAGAATCAATGCATAATTTTTAATAAATAAATTCTGAGTTTTTTTGGCTCCCCTTCATATATCAATTTCAAATCAAGGACACTCAGGCTGTCAAAATTATCCTACTGATGAACCTCATCATACCTTAAAACTAACAGTTTGTTCTTGTAAATGTTTCCAAATTGCTGATGCATTCCCTGCATAGTTGTAAGATATTCTTTTATTTTGACTGCCTCAAAGACACCTGTTTTTTCAGGAAAGATCCTTGATTATTTGGACAAGGAAGGTTTGAGCAACAGCACTCTAGAATAATCCCCACAGGGTAGACTGAATAATCCCTGCAGAGTAAAGAGAATAATCCATACAGAGTAGAGAGAATAATCCCCATGGGGAAGACAGAATAATCCCTACAGAGTAGGGAGTATAATTCCCATAGTTTAGAGAGAATAATCCTCACAGTGTAGAGAGATTACTCCCCAGGAATAGAGAGAATAATCCTCATGGGGTAGAGAGAATAATCCTTATAGGATAGACAGAATACTCCCCAGGGATAGAGAGAATAATCCCCACTGGGTAGACAGAATAATCTCCATTGGGTAGAGAGAATAATCCCCACAGAGTAGAGAGAATAATTCCCACAGGGTCAGGAGAATTATCCCCACAGAGTAGAGATAATAGTTCCCATGAGGTAGAGAGAAATATTCCCACACAGAAGAGAGGATAATCCCCACAAGGTAGAGAGAATAATCCCCCATGGGATGGAGAGAATAATCCCCACAGTGTAGAGAGAATAATCCCCTTGGGATAGAGAGAATAATCCGCAGAAGATGGAGAGAATAATCCCCACAGGGTAGAGAGATTAATCCCTGCAGAATAGAGAGAATAATTTCCATGGGGAAGACAGAATAATCCCCGCAGAGTAGAGAGAATAATCCCCATGGGGTAGAGAGAATAATGCCCATAGTGTAGACAGAATAATCCTCATGGGGTAGACAGAATAATCTCCACGGAGTAGAGAGAATAATCCCCATAATGTATACAGGATAATGTTCCCATCCTAATGCCATGTAAAAATCAATGCACAATTTTTAATAAATAAATTCTGAGGCTTTTTTTTTTGGCTCCCCTTCATATATCAATTTCAAATCAAGGACACTCAGATTGTCAAAATTATCCTACTGATGAACCTCATCATACCTTAAAACTAACGGTTTGTTCTTGTAAATGTTTCCAAATTGCTGATGCATTCCCTGAATAGTTGTAAGATATTCTTTTATTTTGACTGCCTCAAAGACACCTGTGTTTTTCAGGAAAGATCCTTGATTATTTGGACAAGGAAGGTTTGAGCAACAGCACTCTAGTTTATTTTACATCAGATAATGGGGGATCCTTGGAATATCAGCTTGGAAACCACCAGTATGGAGGCTGGAATGGTATCTATAAAGGTGAGGCTGACGGACGCGGTGGCTCATGCCTGCCATCCCAGCACTTTGGGAGGCTGAGCCGGGAGGATTACCTGAGCCCAGGGGTTCAAGACCAGTCTGGGCAACTTGGCGAAGCCTCATCTTTACAATAAATAAAAAAGATTAATGGGGCATGGTGGCTCACACATGTAGTCCCAGCTACTCAAGAGGCTGAGGCAGGAGGATCATCTAAGCCCAGAAGGTTGAGGCTGCGTTGAGCTGTGATTGTGTCACTGCACTCCAGCCTGGGTGAAAAAGTGAGGCCCCGACTCAAAAATAAAATAAAATAAAAAAGGCTGAGAGATTCTCAGACTCTGGTCTTCGGCTTTATCTCTTTCCTGAAATTCCCAACAAGGCCAATCGTTCCAGGAGATTAACATCACTGTCCAAAGACTTCGACGTTTCCTAACTAGGGGGAACAATTGCAATGCTCAGGTCTGATTTTTTTCCTCCCATAATTAAATGTTTTTAAAAATAGATTCTAAAAGTTGTGTGGCCGTCACTACTATTTAAACTCAGAAGAGACAGAAGGAAGAGAGAAAGAAAGACACAGAAAGAGACAGAGAGAGGAAAAGGAAAGGAAAGAGAGAGAGACTCAGAGAGAGGTAGAGAGAGACATAAAGACACACAGAGAGAGACAGAGAGAAAAAGAGAAAGAGAGAGAAGGAGACAGAGAGAGAGAGAGAGAGAGAAAGAGAAAAAGAGAGGGACAGAGAGAGTGAGAAAGAGACAGAGAAACAGACAAAGAGAGAGACAGAGAGAGAGAGAGACAAAAAGAGGGGACAGAAAGAGTGAGAAACAGAGAGAGACAGGAGAGAGAAGAGACAGAAGAGAGGAAGACAGAAAGAAAGAGAATGAACGATGAGAGACAGAGAAAAAAGAAGAGACATAGAGACAGAGAGACACAGACAGAGGGAGAGAGAGAGAGAGGTAGAGGGAGGGAGAAAGCGAGACAGAGTGGGAGAGTGAGAGAGTGAAAGAGAGAGAGAGAGAGAGAAAGAGAAAGACAGAGACAGAGACAGAGACAGATACAGAGACAGAGAGACAGTGTTAAGCCAGCCAACAGGCAGGAAGCTCACTCCTTCACGAGAACCTCCTTCTGACTCTCTCCCTCCCGGTTTGTCTCTGTTTAAACCCAGGAGGAAAGGGCATGGGCGGCTGGGAAGGTGGCATCCGCGTGCCCGGGCTCATTCGCTGGCCCGGGGTGCTGTCGGCCGGCCGGGTGGTGGCCGAGACCACTAGCCTCATGGACATATTCCCCACCGTGATCCAGCTGGCGGGCGGGGCAGTGCCCCAGGACAGGTATGTGGGATAGTGCTGTCCTGGGTTCTGCGGTCTCTTGGGCGGGGATTAAAACCCAGGACAGGTTAAATCGACCCAAGGGAAGCAAGTCAACGCTGAGTAGGGACCGCAGTGTTGACAGCAAATGACACTGTTACTTTTCATGTCTTTTTTTGTCTCACTCTGTCGCCCAGACTGGAGTGCAGTGGCCGCTCCGGCCACCGCAGCCTCAACCTGCGGGGCTCCGGCGATCCTTCCGCCTCAGCCTTCCGAGTAGCTGGAACTACAGGCACGCGCTACCACGCCCGGCCGATTTTTGATGTATTGTAGAGATGAGGTCTCGCCAAGTTGCCCAGGTGGGTCTCGAAGCCGCGGGCTCAGGCAATCCACTCACCTCAGCCTCCCAAAGGCGCGGGATTACAGGCTGAGCCACCAGCCCGGGCTACTTTTCCTGTCTTGATGCATCCACAAAATTTGAATCTGGGGACACGCCCCGATTCTATTGTTTGAGATCAAATGTCTACTTCTGACAGGGACAGAGAGTGAGAGACAGAAGAAAGAGAGATGGAGGGAGGAGTTGTGGGGGAGGAGAAGACAGAGACAGAGAGAGGGAGAGAGACAGAGAGAGACAGACACACAGACAGGCACAGAGGGACAGAAAGATGGAGTCCGAGAGATACAGAAAAAAAGACAGAGAGAGAGTTGGAAACAGAGGGAGACAGAGACAGAGAGACACATAGAGAGATTTTTTAAAAATTTTTGTCTTTGTTTTTATTTTTATTTTTTTAGTCAGAGTCTCACTCTGTGGCCCAGGTTGGAGTGCAGTGGCACCATCGTGACTCACCGCAGCCTCGACTTTCTGGGCTCAAGCGATGTTCCCAACTCAGCTTCCAAAGAGCTGGGTCTACAGGTGCGCACCACCAAGACTGGCTAATTTATTTTTTTCCTAATTTTTTGTTGGGATGAGATCTCACTATGTTGCCCGGGCTGGTCTCGAACTCCTGGGCTCAAGCAATCCTCCAGCCTTGGCCTCCCAAAGTGCTGGGATGACAGAGTGAGCCACCATACCCCACCTGCTTCATTTTACATACAGAATGTTGTTTTCTCTTTTCCTGATATTTAAGGGGAGAACATTTTATTGTAAGGGTGATTGTCATCGGCAGTCTAACCATGCATCATGAAAAACGACTTTTGTTCTGATGTGGTAGGGGCTATTATGGCATTTCAATTTTTTTATTTGAAAAGATTAGCTCAAGCCAGGCATGGTGCCTCACACCTATAATCCCAGAACTTTGGGAGGCTGAAGTGGCAGCATCCCTTGAGCCCAGGAATTCAAGACCAGCCTGGGAAACATAGCGAGACCTCGTCTCTACAGAAAATTTAAAAATTAGCCAGGCATAGGAGTGCATGGCTGTAGCCGCAGCTACTTCGGAGGCTGAGACAGGAGGATTGCCAGAACCCAGGAGTTGGAGGCTGCAGTCAGCTATGAAGACACCACTGCACTCCAGCTCAGGCGACAGAGCAAGACTCTACTCTACAAAAATAACAACAACAATAATAATAAAGATATAGACTACTTGGGCAGAAATAGAAAGAAAATAAAATTATTTTATAATCTTGAGAGCCTTAAAAAGAACATATAGCACAGGGGTGCAGCGGCTCATACCTGTAATCCCAGCACTTGGAGGCTGAGGCGAGAGGATTGCCCGAGCCCATGGGTTCAAGATCAACCTGGACAACATGGTGAGACCTTGTCTCTACAATAAATTTTAAAAAAAGAAAAGAAAAATTAGCCGGGCGTGGGGGTACATGCCCGTGGTTCCAGCTACTTGAAAGGCCGAAGCGGAAGGATCGCCTGAGTCCAGGAGGTTGAGGCTTCGGTGGCCATGAATGTGTCACTGCACTCTAGTCTGAGTGATGGAGTGAGACGCCAACTCAAAATATATGTGTGTGTGTGTGTGTGTGTGTGTGTGTGAATTGCTTTATGCATATAATTTCTTTACGTGTGTGTGACATAGACACAAAGGTTAATTAATTCAAGTTATTTTCTTTAAATTATCCCCTTATAAGAAGTCCTTTGGTCTTGCTTTTAAAAAAGTACCGTCTTTGATTTAACTGCCTATTATAACTATCTCCTTAGCAAAAATTTTTAGAAGTTGAATTCCGGGGCCAATAGTATGGCACTTATAGGTAAATCTCCTGATCTATTTTGTCAGATCATATCTTAGGAATTGCTACCAGTCATATTGATAGTGTACATATTCATAGAAATAGAATCATGTAAAATTATCTGCATATATAAAATTTATATAGACATATATAGGCATATGTTATATAATTCATACAGAAACATGTGTGTTATCATTTTTATTGCTTTATTACTAGAAATGTTGGAGATTGTTATACATTTATTTTTCATCTCTCTTATTTTCTCTTCCTTACATTGCATTACATGTCTGTTGGATTTTTTTCTAATAGGCTATTAATATCTTCTTCTTTAATTCATAATATCCCCTGTGTTTTAAAAAGAAAGTTCTTGTCCATCATGTATATTGTAAATGTGTTTCACTACAAGGTAAAGTAAATTTAGCCAAATATTATTACACACATAAACATATAGACGTGTGTGTGTATGCATACATTTGTGATTTTTATATACATGCGTATGTGTATGCATAGTCTGTCATTTCATTTTTCTTTTCATGGTAACTTTTACCAATTAAAATCTATCTGGAGACTGATAGTGATGTAATCCCAGCACTCTGGGAGACTGAGGCAGGAGGATCACTTGAGGTCAGGAGTTGGAGGCTGCAGTGAGCTATGACCATGTCACTGTACTATAGCCTTGGCAGTAGAGCCAGATGCTGTCTTTAAACAATAAAAATAAAAATGTTAGCTGAGTATGGTGGCTCATGCCTATAATCTCAGCACTTTGGAAGACTGAGGCAGGAGTATCACTTGAGATCAGGACTGCCAGACCAGCCCGGGCAATACAGTGGGAACTTGTCTCTATAAAATTAAAAAAAAAAAATTAGCTGGGTGTGGTGGCTCACACCTGTAGTACCAGCTACTGGGGAGGCTGAGGTGGGAGGATCAGTTGAGGCCAGAAGGTCAAGACCAGCCTGGGCAATATAGCAAGACCTCATCTCTACAAAAAAAAAAAAAAAAAAAAAAAAAATCAACCAATAAAAATAAAAATAATTAAATGAATTTGGAGTTCTGAAATCTTGGCCTTATCTGAAAATATTAATCAGTTAGAAAAAAAATCTTCATTTTACTGCTATGCTCAGTTCACAAAATCTATAAAAATCTATCATTGGTGTTTATAATTAAAATTTGAGATGCAAGATCCCGGCACGTTTTCAAAACAAACAAAGATAAGTGAAAGAGGGCCAGAGTCTTCAAGTGTGTGGAAAATGAATTGTGCCATTCAACCAGCACACGCTTATTTGCGCTTTTTTTTTTTTTTTTTTTTGCCAGAGATGGAAAATCAAAACAGGTGGGTTCAAACTTTGCTCCAAGAAGAATGCAAGAATTAAAATTAGAACTCCAAAAAGACCTTTGCTAAGACAGAATATGGAGGCAGATGCTGCAAAATGAACAGTATCAGCAGAGAGAAACAGAGAGAGACAGAGACAGACAGAGACAGAGAGGGAGGTAGAGAGGACAGTCAGGATAAAGAAGCAGAGGCTATTTCAGAGGATGTTTCAGAAAAGGAACCAGTGACACGCCTTACTAAAGTATATGACATATTCTACAAGGGCTTAAAGCCCAATACGACGTAAAAGCAAAAAGTCCTTTCCCACAAATCGTTCGCTTATTTCTACATGAGTTTATTTTTTATTTAAAAAAAAATATTTGGAATAAGGTCTTGCTCTGTTGCTCAGGCTGGAGTTGCAGCCTGGGTCGGTTCCTGTTCATGGCTTCAGAATATTTCACTATGGATAGTCCATATCCTGTCCATCCATTCATCCATCCACTGAGGGACATGGCACTACAGGCTGGAGTGCGGTGGTATGATCATAGCTCACTGCAGCTTCAACCTCCTGGGCTCAGGTGATCCTCCCACCTCAGCCTCCCAAGCAGCTGGGACTACAGGCACATGCCACACCTGGCTAATTTTCTATTCATTTCCTCTTCCTTCCTTCCTTTCTCTCTCTCTCCCTCCCTCCCTCCCTTCCTTCCTTCCTACTTTCCTTCCTTCCTTCCATGGAGATGGGATCTCACTATATTGCCCAGGCTGGTCTTGAACTCCTGGGCTCAAGCAATCTTCCCACCTCAGCCTCCCAAGTAGCTAGGACTATACGCACACACTAACACACCTGGCTAACTTTTAAAAAAATTTGTAAAGATGGGATCTCACTGTATTGCCCAGGCTGATCTCAAGATGATCCTACTGCCTTGGCCTTCCAAACTGCTGGGATGACAGGCGTGAGCCACCGCACTCGGCCATATTTCCACATGTATAAGATTGGGTGGACACTAAGTTAAGCCAACCAAGCTTGTTTCTCAATTATTCTTTAGCCAAAGGTGCTGTCTGATGATCAATAGCACGAGACACAGTCACATCCCTCTCCTGAGCTCGCTAAGGCTCACACAGGCCTTCCATTCCATCTACTTCCATCCTCGGACCTCCTCACACTGACATGGTATCAAGACAGTGCAGCCTTGGTCTGGGCTGGTGGAGGCTGTAGGAACAGACCTCCAAGTCCTGACCAGTTCCTGAAGCCTGTGTGTTCCTCTCTGCAGAGTGATCGACGGCCGAGACCTGCTGCCTCTGCTCCTGGGGACAGCCCAGCACTCAGGTCACGAGTTCTTGCTGCATTACTGTGAGAAGTTTCTGCATGCAGCCCGGTGGCACCAGCCAGACAGTGAGTAGGAAGGGTTCCCTTCCCAACATACTCCAAGAAAAAGCTGAGTGCTTCCAAGCACCTCCACGCCACAGGAGAGGCTGGGGAGGGAGTCACCTCTTGGTTTTCAAATTTTTTTCTTTTTTAGTTTTTTTAAGAGACAAAGTCTCTGTCGCTCAGGCTGGAAGGCGGTGGTGTGATCATTGCTCACCACAGCCTCCAGTTCCTGGGTTCAGGCGATCCTCCTGCCTCAACCTCCAGAGTAGCTGGGACGACAGGCACATGCCACTATGCCCAGCTATTTTTTTGATAGGGTCTTGCTATGTTGCCCAGGTTCCTCTTGAACTCCTGACCTCAGGCAGTTCTCCCACCTTGGCCTCTCAAAGTGCTGGGTTTGTGGGTATGAGCCATTACACCTGGCTAATTTTTTATTTTTATTTGTAATTTGTTTAAAGACAGAGCCTGACTCTACTGCCCGGGCTGGAGTACAGTGGCGCAGTCATAGCTCACTGCAGCCTCTAACTCTTGGCCTCAAGTGGTCCTCTTGCCTTGGCCTTCCAAAGTGCTGGGATTATGGGTGTGAGCCACCATACCTGGCTAATTTTTAAATTTTTGTGGTAGAGACGCATCTCGCTATGTTGCTCAGGCTGGTCTCAAACTCCCAGCCTCAAGTGATCCTCCCACATCAGCCCCCCAAAGTGCTGGGATTATAGATGTGAGTCACCACACCTGGGCACTTTTGTAACTTCTTTCCCTGAATGTAATGTTTTCTAGGTTCATGCATGTTGTAGTAGTCTGGGCCAGAGCATCAGTCCTGTTCATGGCTACATAGTATTCCCGTCCTGTTCATTCATGCCTCCACTGATGGACACTTGGGTTGTTCCTACCTTTTAGCTGCTGTGAATAACACTGCTGTCCATCTAAATACCATATGAGGAGGGACTCCCCCAAACCAGAATTTATTTATTAAAAATTCTGTATTTATTCTTACACGTTTAAACTTCAGTCACCTTCAAAGTACTCTCCGTTGGATGCAATACACCTATCGAGATGCTTTTTCCACATCTCAAAACAGTTTTTGAACTTGTCAATTTTGATGCCTTTTAGTGCTTCTGCCATTTTTGTTTCACATCTTCCACATTGGCAAAACATTTCCCTTAGAGGACATTTTTCAATGGGGAAACAAACAAAAAGTCACTTGGAGTGAGAGCAGGTGAATATGGAGGGTGGGGCATGGGGGTCATGCCATTTTTGGGCAAACACTGCTGAACACTCAGCGCGGTGTGGGCAGGCATGCTTGTCAATCACCCATCATGAACTGGGCAAACGCGTTGAAAAAATCTCCAAAAAGCATTCACTGAAGCTGAATGTAGCCTCACAACACTAGCTGGCTCAGTGATGCTGATGGGTTCCTAGAATACTCACCTAGCGGAGGAAGCCTGTACTACAAGGCGCCCACCCTCCAAAAGATAATTCCGGGTTTTTTTTGGTCCCTGTCAACCATCTCATTCTTTTCCCTCCTCCAGCCGGAACAGTGTGGAAAGTCCACTACATTACCCCGATATTTCAGCCAGAGGGAACTGGTGGCTGCTATGGGAGAATCATGTGCCCATGCTTTGGGGAAGGTGTCACCCGGCATGACCCACCTCTGCTATTTGACCTCTCGAGAGACCCTTCCGAGACCCATGTCCTTACTCCGGCCACGGAGCCCATGTTCCATCAGGTGATTGCCCGAGTCCAGCAGGCAGTGGAGAGACACCAGCAGACACTCAGCCCTGTCCCCCTGCAGCTGGATGAGCTGAGGAACATCTGGACCCCATGGCTGCAGCCCTGCTGTGGCCGGTTCCCCCTGTGCTGGTGTGACAGAGAAGAAGACCCAAATGTTTAGCCATCTGGGGGGGGGGCGGGGGCGCTGGGGCCTGGTCCTTGGATTCAAAAGAAGCCTTCACTTTGGAGTCATGAAGGCAGCTGTGAAGGGCGCCACCCCCTCCAAAAAAATATAATAACAGGCAAGAAAAGGTAGCAACAAACAATAAACATGGAATAAAATGCACCGTAAAGGAGTCAATGTGAAATTGAAGGACAAAATAACTCCTGTAATTGGAAGGATTGCGACCAAGGACCTCAGCCTCTAGAAGGAGGCTGTTATATACCCCAAAACAGGACAAGTCCCAGTGGAAGATGTTTCTATGTCATTTAGATTTGCAGGCCAGGCGCGGCAGCTCATGCCTGTTATCCCAGCGCTCTGGGATGCAGAGATGGGAGGCTTGCTTGAGGATAGAAGTTCGAGAGCAGCCTGAGAAACATAGCAAGAACTGGTCTCTATAAAAAATAAAAAAGAAAATTAGCCAGGCATGGTGGTGTATGTGTGTAGTCCCAGCTACTCTAGGAGGCCAAGGCGGGAGGAGCGCCGGAGCCCAGGAAGTCGAGGCTGCCGAGAGTTGTGATCATGCCACTGTACTCTAGCCTGGACAATACAGTGAGACCCTAACTCAAAATAATAATTATAACAATAGTAATAATAGCAATCTTCAAGACCATGCACAGTGGCTCATGCTTGTAACCTGAGCACTTTGGAAGGCTGAGGCGGGAGGATTTCTTGAGACCAGGAGTTCAAGACAAGCCTGGGCAACTTGGCGAGACTTTGTCTCCACAAAAAAAAAAAAAAAAAAAAAAAAAAAAAAAAAGCCAAGAGTGGGCTGTCTCTCTCTTTCTCTCTCTCATTAGAGATAGAATCTTGCTGTCAAACAAGCTGGAGTGCAGTGGTACTATCATAGCTCATTGCAGCCTCCAACTTCTGGGCTCAAGTAATCCTCCTGCCTCAGCCTCCCAAGTGACTGGGACTACAGGTCCATGCCACCACATATGATCAATTTTTATTTTTAATTTTTGTAGAGATAGAGTCTTACTATGTTGTCCCAGATGGTCTGAAACCCTGGCCTCAAGCGATCCTCCTGCCTGGGCCTCTTGAGTAGCTGGGATTACAGGCGTGTACCACTGCACCAGGCCCTCTGACTGTTTTCAACACACACACCCCAAAGGATTTGGGGCAGCCCACTCTACCCCACAGGTTTTTGGGAAACACTGATTTCATTTGGTTAAGAATACAAAACTAAGCCGGGCTCGGTGGCTCAGCCTGTAATCCCGCGCCTTTGGGAGGCTGAGGTGAGTGGATTGCCTGAGCC